ATGCGGATTATGTTATAATCAGACGTTCTGTTACATACGTATAAGACTGCGCGACGCACCATAATAATAAGGTTCTAAATCAGAATTGTCAGGGTTTGGAATTAGAGTAGCTGGGACAGACCCATTTACTTTGTCTATATCATTATTATAAAATGTAAGTTCAGACTTATTCCCTTTTTTCCTGCTCTCTAGCAATGTTCTGTTGTCTGCTTTCATTTCCACTTTCTGCCCCCACCCCCTCACCTCCTTTGCCCCTTCCTCTGGGCTCCTGATTTTTTCTGCAGCCTTTCTACTGCTACTCCTTCGCTTCTTCTTACTGCTGTCTTTCAGCCACACCCCCGATCTTCTGGTAGGAAAGATCTACACCTAGCCTTCTCGGACAAGGGCGAAAAATCTCGGAGGGCCCGTGTGTAAGTTGCGCACGTTAAAGATCCCTTGGTGGCCTAAAATCGATGAGTAGGCTTCGGCCGCCACCCGGGCAAAATTCAAAATTTCCTACCAACTGAAAATATTAGTTGTGTCCCGCGCGCTCATATGACCTTATGCAGTTGCGAGCGCGGTAAAACACTTTACAAAAACAAAAAAAACCCCAAAAACAAGACTTATTCCGTGGGTGGTTGGCGGGTGCTCTAGTGTGGTTTGCTCCTTCTTTCCTATAAAAAGTATATCGTCTCTATTTCTTATTATGACCTTATTGCGTTGCAAGTGCCGTAAAACTCTCACTAAAACTAAGACATTTCTTTATTACGCGATCAAACCATGCTACTTTTGTTCATATTCGAGGGAGGTATAGTGGGTTCTTTGTTGTTGTTTTTTCGTAAGTGTTTTACGGCGCTCGCAACTGCATCAGCATTTTAAAAGCGCACGGGACACTCCAAACATTTTCAGTCGGTAGAAATTTTGAAATTTTGCTCGGGTGGCGGCCGAAGCCTACTCGTATCGATTTAGACCACCGAGACCCCCCCCCCCCCCCCCCCTCCGAGCAGTGCTACTGACTGAAGTGTCTTTAGGCCATTCCCAAAGGGGGGCTATTAACATGTTCTTATGCACAGTAGAATTATAAAAATGGGCTGATTTATCAATGTCTTACTCATACTGTGCCGGATCAATATATAGTGGGAACTTCTGCTTTTTCTTTCCTCATCCTTACTATCATCATTTTGTCCTCTGCTTCTTTTGTATGTTTTGTCTCTCTCTTGTGAACTGCTATTTCCGGGGTGCCTTGTTACTATATATGGTAGTCGAAGCAGACTTTGTGCTGTTGGGGCTAAAGAGGTGATTGACATCCACCCCTTGGCGCTCATATGACCTTATGCAGTTGCGAGCGCCGTAAAACCTCTACTAAAACAAACAAGAGGTGAGCAGAGTAAGCCTGATTCCCTGTTTGGATTTCTTTCTTGACATCCACCTCTTGGTGCTCATATGACCTTATGCAGTTTTGCGAGCGCCGTAAAACCATGTCAAAACAACAGACCACCAAGGGATCTTTAACGTGCGCAACTTGCACACGGGACCTCCGAGATTTTTCGACCTTGTCCGAGAAGGCTAGGTGTAGATCTTACCTACCATAAGATCAGGGGTGTAGCTGAAAGACAGCAGTAAGAAGGAGCCAATGAGAAGCAGTAGAAAGGCTGCTGAAAGAGTCAGGGTCCCAGAGGAGGGGGGACGGGACGAAAGCAGACGACAGAACATTTTTAGAGATCAGGAAAGGATGTGAAAGGATATTTTTTTTCAGAGAAGAACATTTTCGGTCAGTCTCCGGATGCGAACCCGGGATCTATTGAATGAGAGGCGAACCTCTAACTCTAAGCCACGAGAGCTCCTCGGACTGTGTGTGAAACGTTTGACTGCAGGTGGCTGGTGGATGCTCAGGCGTGGTTTGCTCTTTCTTTCTTACACAAACGTATATCGTCCATATCTTATTTCCCCTTCGTCTTTTTGTGCGTTAGTTGTTAGTTCCTCTCGTGTAATACCTCTAATTTTCGGCACTTATAATATATGGCCTAATTGTGTTTCAAGGGCCGTAAAATGTTAACAAAAACTTAAAAGCAAGACAAAACAAACGACAACAGCAAAAAAAACAACAACTTAGAAGTGGAATACCGGTAACCTGTACACGTGTATAGACTCTTGAGCTGGTTTATCAGAACTAAAAACTTAAACTCAAGTGTTAATCTGGGGTAGCGACGGGTCGCTTTGACCCAGGCAGGACGACGACACCTGTTTACTTTGTCGCTGCAGGGAACTGAGGGCAGAGAGTCAGAGAGAGGGCGATGCGCGGCAGTTGGTTGGATTTGTTCTGTTTGGTGTTGTTGTTTTTTGCCCCCCCCCCCCCCCCCCCACGGCTTCGAGAAAAAAGGGGAAAAAAGGCACGTACCGCATTCATTTCCGCGGGTGCAGAGATTTTGAGTAGAACGTACTGAAGCGTATAGAGATGTGAAAATGAAAGTGAAAGAGCAGCCCATTGATTTTTCGGGAGGGGGAGTGGGGGTGGGGGCAAACTTGCGAACTTAGATCGCGGGCGGTTGGTGGGCGCTCTGGCGTGGTTTGTTCTTTCTTTACTTCTATCAAACATATTTTATCCTTATCTTTCCTCTTTCTTTTTTGTATTTGTTACTCTCTTTTATAACACCTTTAATCTTCGGCACTTTTGGAAAACTGCATATTACATGCTTTACTGTACTTTTTAAAATGACGGCAGCTAGCCGTAGCCCAGATTGGCCCTGACAGGCAGTGTGGAAGCATCCCATTTGTTAAATGATCTTTAGTGTCTGTCAATAAGGGCCTAAAACTTCAACAGTTTAATTACATAATACAGTAACACGTGTGATTCTTCTTTTTTATCAGCATTCCCTAAAATCCTGGCGACATATAAAGGAGAAAGTTCCAGCGCACTCTTCCTCTCTGCTGTGTTCCTCATTTAAGGGAAGAAAGGGTCAAATGTTGGTGTGGAGGGGGGGGGGTCTTTTAAAAAATATATACTGAGCATTTCCAGTTGCCAGCTTTCTTTGGTAAAAACTATTACTGCTGAGCAACATGACAGATTCTCTTTGAAATAAGATTTTCACAGTGTTGCTTAACACAAACAAGAAAATGTCTTTCTCCCTTTGAGAGCATAATCAATGTAAAACCTTTGATTGATAACTCTTTTTCATGATGCTGTTATATGAGCCCTTTTCAATTCTTTCCCGTTATTAGATATCTATAATTTTTTAAAATCAATATGAGTCTATAGATAAAAGGATAATGGTTAATTAACTGGCCTAACATCTGCTTTCCCAATTCTCCCAACAAATTTATGACTTGGTTCAATTTAATCATAATCTCAACTCTGCACTGGGTAGCCAGTATTTAAGATAATGTCCAGGGTGTTGAAGTTATTTTTTATTTTATGGTTTCTGCCAGACGCTTTCAGGTGATCAAAACAATTTAGCTTTTTCCCTCACTGTGTCATGTGTTCCTAAGCAGTGTGAGAAGATAAAATTTCCTTCACCCCTCTGCTTACACATAATTTCTCCATCAAGTTTGTGAAATCCTCTTTACCTCCCGGAACGGTGCTACGGACTGAAATTTCTTTTGGCCATTCTCAAAAGGGGAACATTAACATGTTCTATGCACAGTAGAATCGTAAAAGGGCTAATTCATCAATGTCATGCTCATAATTATGCCTGAACTGCGACAGGGAACTGCTGCTTTTTCTTTCCTAATCCTTACTATCATCATTTTTCACTCTACTTTTTATGTTTGTCACACACTTGTGACCCTCTATTTCTGGGGTGCCTTGATAGTCGAAGCAGACTTTGTGCTGTTGAAGCTAGAGAGGGGAGCAGAATAAGCCTGATTCCCTGTAAAGACTTCTCTGTTGACATCCACCCCTTGGTGCTCATATGACCTTATGCAATTGTGAGCGTAGTAAAAACTCTACTAAAACTAAATAACTAAAATCTTCTTTTCAGAAGTGCTGAAGGAAAAGAATGATTTAGCAAGCTGTTTGTCCTATCTCCTTTTCATAATGTTTCCGAATCAATAAGACAATGACACTAAAATAGCTCGCTTTATACCTAATCAATGCCATGATGACATGTCACTGATTTGATCAATTTTCAACATCTTGACATACCAGGGAATGCAAAAAGTGTCTCTTCGAAAGGGTTATGACATCAAAAGTCAAGTTGTGGCAAGATAAAATGACAAGCATTTAAAATGAACCTGATTGTGCGAGGAAGTACGGGAATAGAAGCATTGCACAGTCACGACCTTAGGGGAGTTCCTTGAAAGCAGAAGGAATATATATCCTGAACAAAAACAAGACATAGTTATGACAGAGGCTGGCCACCCCCTAGAGGCCCCATCAGAGAAGGCTTTGCTTTGGCGTCTCTAAAACACACAATGGAGAAATGATAGGGGGCTCTCATGGCATAGAGATTAAGGTGTTCGCCTCTATTTCAAAGGTCCCGGGTTCGAATCCGGGTAGTGACCAGAAAATTTTCTTCTCTAAAATTGTTTCCTTTCACCTCCTTTCCTGGCCTCTAGCAATGCTCTGTTGTCTGCTTTCGTCTCCACTTTTGGCCCCCACCCCCTCACCTCCTTTTCCCCCTCCTCTGGGCTCCCGACTCTTACTGCAGCCTTTCTACTGCTACTCCTTGGCTTCTTCTTGCTGCTGTCTTCAACCACACCCCTGATCCTCTGATTGGAAAGATCTACACCTAGCCTTCTCGGACAGGGGCAAAAAGTCTCGGAGGTCCCGTGTGCAAGTTGCACACTTTAAAGATCCCTTGGTGGTCTAAAATCTATAAGAGTAGGCTTCGGCCACCACCAGGCAAAATTCAAATTTTCCTACCAACTGAAAAATGTTTAATGTGTCTTGCGCGCTCATATGACCTTATGCAGTTGCGAACGCTGTAAAACACAAAAAGAAGGAGAAATGATAAAAAGTGCTATCTTTATCTTACATATTTATTTGAACTTATCGATTGCTTTTGATGTTTTTATGTTCACAGAACCAGTAAGCGAGCAGCCATGCCGAAGAGAAAGAAAAGAACAACGGTCGCATCGTCAAAAAAGAAAAAAGATCATGAGGACACGGTGTCTGACGACGGAGAGGACTCGCTGGAACGCGCGCCCGTGTCGAAGAAGGTGGCAGCAGCCTCATCCACCTCCCACCTGGAAGATGAGACTGACCAGATATCTCCGTTCTCCAGCATTAACCTGGTCAAGATCCGCAAAGGTTCCGGGGAAAAGGCTTCAGAGGAGTCCTCTTTCTCCTCTCACTTTTGGTGCAACTACTGCGAGTTCTCTGCTGATTCTAAACGAGAGCTGGTGACTCACATGCGGCAGCACATGATCAAGTGCTCCTTTTGTCCTTTCAACAGTCTTTCTCGCAGCGAGGTTTCTCGTCATTGTAAGACAGAACACGACAAGGAGCTTGACGCTGTCCCTCAGGATAATGAGGTGCACCAGCCAGAGTGTGAAATGGACAAAGACCCGTGTTCGGCGTGCATATTCTGTGATTTCATGACTTACAGCACAGAGCATTTGGAGAAACACACGCAGCTTCGTCACCGAGGAATGCTGCCAAAGTCCATCGCTAAAATGATTTCAAAGCAAACAAGTGCTGAAGTGAGGAAAACCGACGCGTTGTTCTACCTGTCAGGTCCCGAGGAAAATGCAGAGAGCACCCCCTTTCCCTCTAGCATCACGATTCACGATGACACGCTGTCTACCTCCAAACTGAGTGAGAAGGAAGTAGATTGTAAACCTCCAGCTTCCATATCATCATGGACTGAGGAGCAGGCAGAGAAAGAGGTGGATAAAAAACCCGTGACCGGGCCTCTGAAAGTGAACTGGAATGTCAAAGTTGAAACGATGTACTGTATGACCTGCCCTTACAGCAGCGTTTCGGTGGAGAAGCTGAAATGCCACACAATATCTCAGCATCCAGTGGGGGCAACTGTGGCCACGTTTAGCTCGGGTAGTGGGTTCGGCAACGTGCAGCCGCAGGATCTCTCTTTTTTCTGTGTCAAGGAGGAATGTAGCCATAGCAGTACCGACATGAACTCTTTTTGTGATCATCTCGTCGAATGTTGCACGGACATACAACTCTTGTCTGTTGCCGAAAAGGAAAGGATCAAGTCGACTGTGTCATATCTTTTAGACTGTCAGAAAAAGCACAAGACAAAACTGTCTCCTGCTTTTCTAAAGTATGCAACCATCATCACACAGGTCCAGCAACATTCTCCGATCGTGGAAAGTCCTGGCCCACAGGTCAAAATAGCCCCAGATGCCTCAATATCGGTGGAGCAAAAGAAGTTTGACAGCTCACAGGTCCCCAGTAGCAGCAGCAGCAACACTCCTGCCTCACTCCCAGCCACACAGTGGTCAACCCCATTCAACCAGGAATCTGGGGTGCCACATCCAACAACAATTCCACATGAGACCACGAGAAATTCTGCAATGCAGTCCCCAGCTCATTTCAATCCTCCCCCTGTAAACACAAATCAACCGACTGCAGGAAACAGCCTTAACAATGGGCAAAACACACCACAGTTGGTAAATACTGCTTCGGCCATGCTTCCAGAGGCTTCTCAACCTAGTTTGCATCAGCTTCCAGTCCAACAACAGACAGGACCTCTTCACACTTATTCTACTCCCCAACACCAGGCTGGAGCCTTCAGTTATCCTTCCAATAACATGGCTGTTCAGCCCAATGACTTTCAACAACAAGGATTTGTTAGCGGTTGTGGCAATGATGCCCAATTTCAACCTCCCATGCCAGCTGTCGCTCCTCTTCCCAACAGCCATACCTCTCAAGCTGCTTCATCATATCCTAACCATTCAAATGACAGTGGCAGGTTTCCCCCCAATAATCAACCTATACTGCAGACACTGTCTGATGGATCCTCCAGCCAAGTGACATTTAATCCTGCGGGCCATTCAGTTCCTCAAGATCTTCCACAACAGTTTGCCCCTCATCAGCCTCTGCCAAATAACCAGACAATGGTGCAAGGGAATATGCAACAGTCAATGGCAAATAATGGGACGATGGTCAACGGAAACGAGCCACAACCGTTGCCATTTCCCAGTCCTGGAGAGCCAGCAAATAGTTCCGGTACAGTTTGCCAGCCGCCATCCGTTGTACCATTTAGTTTTCCTCAAAATTCTGGCAGCCAGCCTGCCCCTAATACATGTATGCCCATGATGGAAACTCCTTCTCAAGGGCCTCAGGTTCCCTTCAATAACAGTAACCACATGCATCAAAGGACAGACATTACTAATCAAGAACCTCCGTCGAGTGGATCATTTATGGCTCAGCCTCTTCACGGTAATTATAATCCAGGACCGAGTCAATTATCAGTTGGGAACTCGATTCAGAATAACTACACTGTACCAAGTCAACCATCAATAGGAAGTATGGATCAATCCTTCGCTGATGTGTCACAGCCTAAGATGCTGGACCTCCTCTCAGACACTTATTCCATTTTACTGTCAGACGATTCCATGCCCACAAGCATGCAGTCTTCCACAGCCAGTGTAATCAACCCCCATGAGATTCCATCGTCAGCCCCTGGACTCACAGATTTTCCTAGTCAACAACAGCCACAACAACAGCAGCAACTTCAGCAGCAGCAGCACCCTCAGCAACCACCGGTTTTCCCCCCAGAGTCAAATGTTCCCACTTTAGGCGGTGGGCAGAATTCAATGCTAGCGTACCAGCCGGAGGCGCCCATCGCCCCTCCGGTGTACAGTGAAGGTCAAGGCCAGGCAGCCAACAACATGCAACATCTACCTCCCTTCGACTTGCCCCAGCAGCAGTCTCCTGCCCAGATGGCCCCATCTCAAGAAATGACCAGCAATCAGTTATTATATACCAGTGCACAAACTCAGCAGCAAATGAATACGACGTCTAGTTTCAACAGTGCACCAATTGTCCTTGGGGTTGATTCTCAGCCTCAAAGTCAAATGCAGCAGGCAAGTCAAAACGTCAACCAATTTCCTCCATCCTTTCAGGGCAGTGCGCCTGTTGCACAAGATGCTTCTCATATGCCCAATTTTCTCGTTTCCTCCACTGGCATTCCCCACACCTCTGCAGAAATGCCCCCTATGATGCAGCAAGCGGTTACCACGCCGACGTTCCTCAATGCTGGACCTCGGCCCACAGCTATTGCGACAGGTCAGAGATTTCCTTCTCCCTCAACACCACAGAAAAATGCTGGGCCAGGAGGGGGAGATAAGGGTCAGGGAGGGGTGCCTCTCAGCCCCAGTATCTATCTGAGTGGGAAAGCGCCGCGGCACCAAAGGTCCGACTGGGTGGAGAGCGACATGAGACCCAGAGGAAGCATGCCCATCCTGACAGCAGCTGTAGCTCGGCAACCGAGCGGTCTTCCTCCCTTCAGACCTGGAGCGCCTGCAGTGACGCCACCTCAGCATGGGCAGCGACTTCCGTCCTCTCACCCTCCCTACAGAACTTTTACCCCGGAGATGCCTGGCAACAGAGGGGCGTATCCCATGCAACCCGGACGAGGCTACATGCCTCGAGCAGGTCGTCGAAGGGGTCGGCCCTCGATGTCCATGGGCAGGGGTTCTCGAAATCCAACTGTCAACGACGATGACGATGTTATTGTCACCGCTGTCACTAAGATAAGGCCCGCACCAGGCCCTCCGGCTGGTCAAAGAATGCGCGGTGTGAACAACCCAAGAGGTAGACCGGGTGGCAGGGCAAGGTACCCGAGTCAGTCACCAAACCTGAGAGGAGCCCCCAACAGAATGTCCAATGTGAGGCAACCCGGACCTCCCCAGCAGTACAACCCCAGCAGGTCCCTGGACGTGAGTAAACACTTTGAAGACCTGGCTTGTCTGGCGTCCTCCAGGGGAGACGATGCTGGAGACGGAGACGATGATCTTCAGATCGTCTCTGTGACTCCAGGGAAAGGGAAAGATCCGAACGCCCCTAAATCAGTAAATGCTGTCAACTTCTCTTTCTGTTGTGTGTATTGCGGCAAGGATCAGGGCTCCAAAGAGGTGATGAAGCGTCACATGAAAGCTATGCACAGTGACTCTTTGCTCGGGGCTTTCAGAAATTTGCAATCTGGTCAACTGTTATTTTTTTGCCCTCAGATAGGCTGTGATTTCATGACTTACAATGATGGAAATCTTGCAGAGCATATCAGGAAGTGTTACAACACCCCAGACAACTCAAAGCTTCCGTTTGATCTGCCACTGGCTCTGAAAAACCTCCGAGCTTTGAAAATCACTCAAGTTGAAATAAGTTCCTCGGCTGGAGAAAGCCAGTTTCACCCAATAGATTTGGATGGTCAAGGCCTTAGAGATAATTTCAATGACAGCCTCACTGATGCTTTTGATGGTATGGTTGAAAATGTTTATGGAAGGGTCGTACCACGAAGCAACGCACCACCGAGACCGACGAGACCACAAAGAGGAGATCTGACCCAAAACACACCTCCTAACTCTGCGCCACAAGGCCCTAGAGGCCCCATCAGGGGACCCATGTACAGAAACCCCCGCGGTGGGGGCCCGGCTGGTGCGACCAGGCCGTATCATCAAGGCCCTCCTCGTCCAACGAGGCCCTACAGAGGAAGAGGGGCGGCCATGAATCCATCGGCTGCGTATCGCGGAGGGTCTCGAGGCTCCCCTGGCGGGGCCAGAATGCCGGTGCCGAGACAGCCAGGGTATCCCGTGAGACCTCCAGGACGAGGCAGGGGCGGACAGTTTCAGAACGTGCCTCCCGCCCAGGGGCCCCCGGCAGCTCGGGCTGGTGCTACCGCTCTTGGTAACAATCAAAATGCCCCCATTGTGATCGACCTTGATGCAGACTCCCCTCCAGGGTCCAGCGACTCACAGAATATGCAGCCAACTCCTCATTCTCAACATGTGATGCCTTCAGTTCCGACCAATGTAAACCTTTCTTACCCTCCAGCTAGGCAGGAAATGGTACCAGGAGTTCATGGTTCAGCTGGGGCAGCTCACTTGCAGGCAGCTCAGTCGGGAACTGCTTCTGTCAATGGTACTGTTAATTCATCGAGAAATGACTCCTCCATATACTCCGATGCATCGAGCATCCCTGTTCATCCTACCAGCTCAGTCGCTACAGCGTCCTCTAGAGAAACTGGACATTATTTTACCCACACCGCACCTAACAGTGGCACTCTTGAAACTTCTAGTGTTGCTTCACAGGGGAATAATTCTACTGGAAATGACAATCCTGATGGTCGGCCTAACGTAAAGGACAGTACTGTAGATACACAAGGAAAATCTTCCCAAGTAGGAAACCAACAAGGCAGTGGAGAAGGCAAGTCGGACGATTACATTAGTGAAGAAGCCAAAGTGAATAGTATTTTACTGGAGAAGGTCTTTGCAAAAGTCCCCAACATGCCAAAAAATTTGTCCCGCCGTCTTGTTTCAAAATTCAAACAGTACGCGACGTACAAGGGAGTGACTATAACCCCGGACTCTAAGGTGATAGATGAGTTTGTCAGCAAAATATACTACAAAGGCTCTAACAATGCTCAAAATACTGGTGAGAACCAAAATAACTCTAGCTCTAGCGGTAATGCTAATCCTTCAGCCTCTCAGCCCAGTCAGAGACCCTCTCCCGCACTACCACCTCAACCGTTGGGCCCGCCAGGTTCCAAAAATATGAACCATTCTGCCACAGCTCTAGTTGCAGAGGAAGTGGCTGCAACTTCACTTCCCCATTCTCATGCGCAAGCAGAAAGTGAAAACTCTGTACCCGACCATCAAACTGAGTGTTTAAACAGAGCTGACAATACTGGGGAGATAGTTGGAGGGAGTGGTGAGGGTTGTGGGCCGAGAGCAGAGGGTGACGCTGTAGAGAGTGAGGGAAAGGATCCTTCCAACAAAGATGCGAAAGAGACTTCTGATGATGTCATCACCACGCAAGTGGTTCTCGCTCAGAGATCTATGTCGTTCTCCGGCCCTTTTGCAAACCTTCTCAAAGTAAAGCAAGAGGAGGAGAAGAGGTCCCAAGACAGTGAGGGGAAGGAGGGAGGAGGTCTCACTCAGGGGTCGACGACTGCAGCAGAAAAGCCTGCCTTGTCTAAAGGAGACCAACAGATGCCAGAAACGCAAGACACAGATGACCTTCCGTCGCTTGATCCAAAAGAAGGACAGGGGTCATATTCGAAAAATGTGAGAAGAAGTCTCTGCCCGGAATTTTCCTCCCAGGATGTGTCTGCGGGGAAAGAAAAGCCGCCTAATGCGGGTGAAAAAAGCAGAATGTCATCGGACACTTCTCAGCCTTCTGAAACCTCCTCAGTCCTACCAGAAAATAATGAGACGTTGGTACCTGTTGACGTGCCTGTCAAGCATGAAGCTGTCGTTACATGTATGCCTGTCATAGTTTCAGAGCCTATTGTGGTCAGGTCAAGTGTGGAACATTTAGTATCGGGGCATGTTGGTTTGGAGGTTGACATCGCTGGAAAGCCATTAAGACCACTTGATTTGATTCCGAGTGTTCAGGACAAAGATTCAGAGGAGTTGGAATTCAAAGAACTGGCGGATGGCAAAGGACTGGCAAAGTCTAAGGTGAACACATGTGTCATCGACAAAAGTACTGGAAAACTGAAATTGAAAATTTTCAAAAGCAAAACTTCCAGGAAAAGAAGATTGTCTGCCGGACCTCAAAATGAAAATAGTTGTAGTAGTGAAGAACTCAGTCCTAGTGCAGAAAAAGCTGACGAGGCTGCAGGTGACAATCAGGTGCCGAGTGGAGAAGGTGAGGCGGAACCTGAACAGCCATTTGTGAGACGGTCGGAGAGAAAAAGGAAAGAAGTCAGCAAATATCAGAAAGGAGAAGACGCTAATATGATTGATGAACTTATGTCAGATGATGACGATGAGTACAATGTCGATGATGATGATGACGATTACGACGACGACAGTGAGAGTGAACGCAAACGCGACCACTCGAACTCAAAAAGAGCTAAGAGGGCGCGAAAGGCAAGTGATCCGTCAGCGTTTGACGCGAGCACAAGGGGCGTTTTCAAGTGCTGGGTGTGCCGCAAACAGTTTGTGCGCTGCAATTTTGTGAAAAAACACATTATCCAAAAGCACAAGGAAGGTTTGTGCGCTGTGTTTCTGAAGACTGTGGAGGAGGTGTGCACCCCGGAGCTGGTCCTGTTCTGTCCCCGACAGTGCAAGTACAGCACCACAGACACGGAGGCTCTGTCCAGGCACGAAGCTCTGTGTGAAAACCCCGTGCTGCAGGATGAGGGGGACGCCTTCCTGCTGATTAACCAGCAGTTTATTGACGAGACCTCGGAACAGGTAAGTGTTGTCTTGTACTTCTACCCAAGTTAAAAAATAAACATTTATTCCAAGTTTTAAAAATATATATGTTGGGGGGGGGTCCAAAATAAAAAGTTTGGTTTGCTGGATGGTTGATTTAGTTTTATTATTTATGTGTGGCTTGAATGTTCTGTTGTTTGTTTGTTGATTATTCTTCACTGGTGTTTATGGTGTAGCAGTTAGGTGCCTTTTGCTGTTGCACACAGGAAACCCGGGTTTGATTCCCAAGTTCCGGAGAATGTTAATTGAGTCTTTTTGCCAAAACCCCCCTTAACCCAGGTTGGCTCAAAGTCAAAATGGTTTAAATTGTGTTGATGCACTACTACTTTGAGTTACGCATTTAAAGATGAAAACAAATTTAATAACAGAACATGAAAGTTATATGAAATTATAGTTGCACATTTCAAAGATAATTTGAACATTTAAGAAAATGGTACTCTCCCATTAAATCAGGGACAATTGGCCATTACCCAATGTCTCCACACCATGCCCCAAGAAACAAAGCACCGGCGTCTGTGGTATAGCGGCTAGGCACTTTGCTTTCATACACAGAAGACCCAAGTTCGATTCCAGAGTTGGGATAAGTTTTTATCAAATATCTTGGTCTTTCTGCAGTTACTATTGAGCATGTGTTGTGGGATGTGTATTGATTATAGTTGACAGGGTGAGCAAAAAATAAAAATGTGAAAGTTTTGGGGCAGTTATTTATTTATTTATGTTGGGGGGTTTTTTGTTGGTTTATTTTGAACAGGGGTGGAGCATGTAAGGCATAAAGGGAGCATGTAAGGCATAAAGGGAGCATGTAAGGCATAAAGGGAGCATGTAAGGCATAAAGGGAGCATGTAAGGCATAAAGTATTTCCTTGCAGTGGCGGCATCACTGATCACTTATCACCTTTTATTTTGCACTTATAAACACTTGTTTTGTCTTGTTGTTTAAACATTTTTTACAGTGAACTTCGTCCCACAATTTCATGAACCCCCCGGGGAGGTGCTACTGACTGAAGTGTCTTTAGACCATTCCCAAAGGGGGGGGGGGGGAGACATTAATGTTCTTTTATGCACAGTAGAATGGTGATTAATATGGGCTGATTCATCAATGTCATGCTCATAACTGTTCGTGAACTGCAACAGGGAACTGCTGCTTTTTCTTTCCTAATCCTTACTATCGTCATTTTTCCTTTACTTCTTTTGTATGTTTGTCACACTCCTGTGACCCGCTATTTCCGGGGTGCCTTGATGGTCGAAGCAGACTTTGTGCTGTTGAAGCTAGAGAGGTGAGCAGAGTAAGCCTGATTCCCTGTAAGGACTTCTCTGTTGACGTCCACCCCTTGATGCTCATATGACCTCATGCAGTTGCAAGCGTCATAAAACCTGTATTGAAACTAAAAACAATTTCATGTTGTTTGGCTTTCAATTTTGGTGCATCAATGCAGTTTCGACTAAAGCCGAATCTTGAGAGACAAGAATATTTTAACTTTGACATTGCTTTGTGGACATTTGTTGGCTCCTGCGTCATTTATTGTATGTGAGGTTCACTGTGCACATTTTTCTTTTTCACTGCTTCTTTCTTCGTGCTGTGACTTTGATTATTTGTCCGTGAAAAGATGAGTAGATGGTTGGTGGGTGCTCTGGTGTGATTTGCTCCTTCTTTCCTATCAAACATCTATCATCCTTATAAATCCCTTCCTTTTCTGTGTTTGTTACTCTCTTGAAACACCTCTAATCTTCTACACCTATATATGACCTTATTGTGTTGCAAGTGTCATCAAACGCTTACTAATATTAAAACTTATTTCCATTGCCATATTATTTTAAATACTGTTTATTCTTTTTCAGCTGAGCACGGTGTTGAGTGAGTATTGCAATTCCATTCCTGATGGTCCTCGTCCCCATGGGGGTGAAAAGTTGGGCACCACGGACTCTATCCCAGCCACAGAGAAACCCAGGGCCTCGGAAAGCAGCAACGAGTGGTCGGCCCTTGGTGTAGACAGCGGAGTCTCTTCAGGGACAAACGAGGAGCTGGCGGATAGTTTCTCCACACCGACTGACTCTGCAGCAGGGCGGACCCCCGACATCTTGTCCTCAGAAGTTGCTTTAGAAGTCCCAGTGGAGCTTCCGATCTCACCTGACAAGTTGGAGGATATCTCGGCAGACTTTGCCATGGAAGAATTCGACACTGATTCCATATCATTGTTTGATTAATGCTGTGTCATAAAATGCATAAAACAGAGTGGAAATTGTCCAAAGGTGGCCACCCGTTGTCAAGGAGAAAAGTGGTTCTCTTAGGCAGCTGGATGTCATACACAGAATCATTGTAATATAAAAGAAACTCAAGGGGAAGGGGACTGACAGTTTTGCAGGTGATTGTTTTCGAAAAGACAGGGTGTCAACACTTTATCTTTCCGTCAAATATAAAAAGAGTCGTTATTGTGTCGTCACATCTTGCATTTATAGAATATAATACTTCTTTCAACACTTGTAATTCCTGTACATCACAGGGGTAACTGTATATGCTCTCGAAGATGTCGGGGTAACTGATGGGTCATGATTAGGAGAAAGGTGCAACCCTTGTTTTGCTGATGTCTGCTTTTTGGAATCGTGTCCAAGGGTAAATGCTTCTCTTCGTATATGCAACTCATCATTCAACAAGGAGATGCCACATATATGTAAATATATGTATAGTAATGTACCTGTTGTAGGGAAATTTCAATGGAATACAAGTGGACAGGTGGTGTTTTGACATTTGATCATCACTTCCCTGTAAATGTCTGAATGTGTGCTTTCCTGTAAGTGCCTGAATGTGCGCTTTCTTGTTAGTGCTAGTCTTTGTATGCCTGCTTCCCTGAAAGTGCTTGAATGTGTGCAGTTTGCTTGTGTTGGTGTATACAAAAGAAAGATTTTTATTTCTGCGGGCTAGTCTGTTGAATCAGGGGTCTGGCTGACATGATTACTTGCTGAAACAGTATTATACAAAGAAACAACGGAGAAAAACATTGTTGCGAAAGTATCTGGTCCTGGTTTACTTATTGTCGACTTCAAAATGTTTTCTATGTAAGAAGTTTCTCTTCCAAAGGGAGTCTGCACATGCTGGCAGAATTTCCAATCTCACAATCACTTTTTGTCTCCAGCCTCCTTCTAGTTTTACAAATTATGTCAAAGAAAATTTCTTTCATTCGTGAGGAGTTCGAGAGGGTGCTTTGTTGGTTTTCTTTCTTTTTTTCCCCGTCTGTTGTCTCTGTCGTTATTTCTTTTCCCTTGCTCTGAATGATGGTCTTTGTGTCCGTTAAGTGACTTGGCCGCAGTGAAGCTCTCAAGAAAACGGAGATTCAGTAGATTCTTTTGAATTAGATATTCTCATCATCAATTTTCCTTCTCTACAGATAGATCTGATCTTTCATGCAAGGCTTGTGAATACTGCTGCCTCAACATAACGGCTTTCACATAGAATTTAGTATGCTTTGCCGTCTCTTTTTACTTTTGCATGCGTGGCAGGCCCTGTCAGGCCGGGTCATGTGTACATAGATGTGTATGATGATAGGAAGTTGTATTTCTTCAGTAGCCTTGTCTCTCTTTCCTGAAACACAGATTTTTTAGGGAATAGTGAGGTGTGATCTACGTGACTGATGGTTGGATTTCTTTGTCTTTGCATATTTAATTGATTAAAGAATTCCCCCACATTAGGCTATTTTTGTCATTTAGTACTGTTGTACTGTTGGCACTGTTGTATTTGTTACTTAATAGTATAGTCTGATCAGATTTTTAGTTTACAATAAGTGAAAGTATCATAGGTTGGTACTTTTGTATTGTGAAAAAGAACATTATTTTGTAATGGCTGTGACTGATTTTGGTTTTAGTTTTAACATTTAATTTTTTTTCTTTCTTCCCCCCCCCCCCATTAAAAGTGAGTTTGATTGGGTGGTTTTATGTTCCTTTCTTTTTTACAGTATTTTCTGTGAAGATTTCAGGGACAGGGACAAGTAATACAGTGTAACACGGATAGCTCGAATTCGTGGGGACCAGCCTCGGTAGTTTGAGAGATCCGTAGTTCTAGGGATATCTTACTAAGATAAAGAAGAAAGAAAAAAAATTGGACCTCAGGCACAGTTCGACGGATATATCATTTCGAGTCTTCTGTGTTCGACCTGTCCATGTTATAGTGTATGTTGTTATGTGTACGCTTCTTGAAAACGACTCGCGGATGCTCAATCTGGGGATGAAGCTCCCTGTTTTTCACCCGAATTTCTATTGTCATAGAGTATAGAGTGATTGTTGTCTTGGGAGTTCTAGGAAAAATGGGAATTGTCTAGAAATGTTTTTCAGGCCACTTTCCTGCTTTGTTATTTTGCTTCAACTCTTTATCTCGTGAGCAGGTTGTCCCACTATGCCGGACGCCTCTCTTGATACGAAACCTGAGAATGACATGCACATGACTAAATTGGCCATTAGAGTAAATCTAAACAAGGGGGGAAATGTCTGGATCACGGGCAGGGAGAGGCTTGCTGGAGATAAAGAGTTCAAGTCTCATTCAACTTTGTTCTGATTTTCATTAGTTTTTCCCTTACAATTGTCTTATAATTTCTAATAATAAAGAGAAAATTATACAAAAGAGTTGTAGTACCTGCACTTCTAGGGTCTGGTAGTTCCTGCTGGTGTGAATGAACATCTCAGTACAGAGTCTTTTAACCCCCCGGGGCAGTGCCACTGACTGAAGTGTCTTTAGGCCATTCACAAATGGGGGACATTTCTTGTTCAAGCATAGTAGAATTGTAAATGGGCTGACTCATGTCACGCTCATAGCTGTGCCTAATCTACAACAGGGAACTGCTGCTTTTTCTTTCCTGATACTTACTATTGTCATTTTCCTCAACTTCTTATGTATGTTTGTCACTCTCTTGTGACCTGCTATTTTGGGGTGCCTTGATAGTCAAAGCAGACCTTGTGCTGTTGAAGCTAGAGAGGTGAGCAGTCTTAAGTCTGATTCCCTGTAAAGACTTCTCTGTTCACACCCACCCCTTGGCGCTCATATGACCGTATGCAGTTGCGAGCGCCGTAAAACCCTCTACTATTAAAAAAAAGGAGTCTTTTTAGAATAAATGGTCACTTTTAAGGACAAGCGAGCTAACCCAGATTTCAGGGGGTTCCAGAAATCTTGACTGACACCACAAGTGAGCATTGCCCTACCAATAGGAGAAGTTTGGTTTTATTGGTGTGTATTTGTTTGGTTATAGAGAAAACTGAACAAAGGGCGAAAACTTTACCTTCAATTTTCTCGAAACAGCATTTTTGGGGATAGCCCCCTTGTGCTTAAAAGCGACCGAATCATCCTTGTACTCTCCTGGCTTGTCAATGCTGTCTGACTCCTGAGCAAGTCTGTCAGTTCAGATAGAAGAAATCAGCCTTGTGAACTTCTCACTTGTCAGTGCTGTCTGAGCTTGAGTCATTTATTGTACCGTGCGTCGATCATTGAAGTGAAAGTGTAATTGTATTTCAGAATGCACAAAAATATTAATGGTAATACACGTTGTAATTAAATGGTGCTTATTTGATGCAGAAATGTTCTTTCCGAATGATTAAAATTGATTTTTGAAATTCCTTTTCAGTTTTCAAATGTTTTATGGGGGTTTTTTGTTGGCTGAATACATGCACATCAAATTTGCTATTTTAAGTGAGTGCCCACATTGATATCACTGCCAAATGAAGATTCATTATGAGTTAATTGTGGGGGAGGAGGTGGGAGGGTAGATGATGTAGCTTTTTGTCTGCATGGAACAAAGCAAAATAACTGATTAGTGCATGACTCCACACTCCACATACACCATTTCAGAAAGTGACTTGTATCAGGGTTATACACTGAGCAGCTGATGTGAAGTTACATTGATCTGTTACAGCAGACTACACATTAACTTTATGAGTGAGGTTTTAGCCAGAATTTTTTTTGGGGTCCCAAACCTATGTCATTTCTACATCCACGGTGTACCGTTATGATGTAGGCACAGTTATCAGGGCCTGCCCTGATGATAGTTATTAAGCTGTGCCCACACCCTGGTGTATATCTCGACTTGAAGAAACACTGGATGGCTCCACAGAAATATATCAGAAGAAAGCTTTTGAGGCCTCTTCCAACTCTGAGCAGCAGCTATGACATTTACATAGCTGTAGTTGGTTGGCTTTACTAGTTAAACTGGGTGGTTGGCAGGTGCTCTGGTGTGGTTTGCTCCTTTCCTTTCAAACATCTATCGTCCTTATCTCTCCTCCTCCTTTTTTGTGTATGTTACTCTCTTGTAATTGTTACACATCTATTCTTCATCACTTTTATGACCTTATTGTGTTACAAGTGCCATAAAACACTTACTAAAACTGAACTTACTAGTTAAAAGGGAATAGTAGTAGTTCAATAAGTGTGCCATTGGGAAATTTCATCGGTACCATGACGTTACTTGTTGCTTGCGATTCTGTTCAGTCCTTAGTATTTTGCTGTCCCATTTTTTTCTCCTCCCTTAACAAACATTTTTTGCTCAGTTCTTTAGCAAGATTTTTAACAAATTTATCTTCTTTTTTTTTTTTAGGGGAAAGGGGGGAGGGATGCTTATTTTTTCTTTACTCATAAGTTATAGGTCTATGAAAGATATTTTTGAGAAAAAAAGAAATAATGCTTTAGAATGGAGTCTTGTAAATTATACGCAAATTTTTATTCTTTTTTATCATGGTGTATAGTGAATAATAATTTGTTCTCCATGAACATACTTACTGTCTGCCCAGCTCATATAGCTAAGCATTTGCTATTAAGAGTGCTGCAGAACCCCCCACCCCCCCCACCCCTCTTGTCTAGAACAGAAGACATTGATTTTCAAATCCAGTCTTTAAGTTTTTTTAAAGTTTCTTCTCTATACAGTTGAGTTGTTTGCATCGAGCTTGTTTGTCATTGTTCATGTTCTGTACTCCGTACTTTTGGAGACAAACTTCACTGTAATTCACAACAGATTCCCCCCCCCCTGTAAACTAAACTGTACAATGATACTTCGTAATGTGTATTTTGTTACGAGTGAAGGGAGTTATGAAACTCGTCACTGACAAATCATTATAATCATGTGAATAATATCCTCATCAGTGTCTGGTGTAGCAAATATTGCTTCACCATTGCTTGCAGACAACATTCTCCACATTTCTGTTGGACATTGTTGTATCCCTCCCAGCCCAGATTGGCCCTGACAGGCAGTGTCAAAGCAGCCTGCCTCCTAAATGACCTAAATTGTGTCAATGAGGGTGTGCAGTATAAGAATATATCAATAAAACTTGTTATATATTTTCATTTGACTCATTTTCGTTTTTCGTTGCTAAGAAGATGTAGCACGCTCATTATGTCTTCCTTTTTTCTTCCTCGAGGTCATTCAGTCAGTTTTTCACTTTTTAGTATTTTATCCTGTTTCAGCGTTTTCTGTGGAAACTTTCTTTACTATAATTTTTGTAAGTTTTGTGAAGGATGAATGGTTTTTTGACCAGCTCAAAAAGCGGCAGTATCATATGAAATCAAATGCCAATGTTGAGTTTAACACAAAAGGGTGTTAATTTTTTTTAATCATTTTTTTTTAGATCCATGTGACCAGCCCAAAAAACAGGCATCTGTGGTGTAGGAAGTAGGCACTTAGCTGTGATACAAAGAAGGTCGTTTCCAGAGTGGGAAAGTTTTTATCAGGTACCTCTGTCTATCTACTGGGACTGGGAATGTTTTATACCTTAGCTCAGGTTGACCCTGAAAGGCAGGTTCGAAACGGCCCATCATGACATATATTTGTTTTCATAGTGATGGGAAACGTCTGCAAAATTACATTAATATATCCAAAGGGGGGATATTAACATGTTCTTATGCACAGTAGAATTGTAAATGGACTAATTTATCAATGTCATACTCATACTGTGCCAGAACAACATAGATGGAACTGCTGCTTTTTCTTTCCTCATCCTTACTATTGTCATTTTTCCTCTACTTCTTTTGTATGTTTGTCACTCTCTTGTGAACTTCTATTTCCGGGGTGCCTCGATAGTCGAAGCAGACTTTGTGCTATTGAGGCTTGAGAGGTGAGCAGAGTAAGCCTGATTCCCTGTTTGGACTTCTCTTTTGACATCCACCCCTTGGTGCTCATATGACCTAATGCAGTTGCAAACTCCGTAAAACCTTACTTAAACAAAACAAAAGAGAACTCATCCACGGTTCACAAAATAGGCTGAATTAATGAATGTGTACATTCATCAAACCGAACTTGAACGTGATGGAAGTGCATATAACGGTATCGCTCACCCTAGCAAATTGCCCAAGAACTCTCTACTCTACGACTGAGTTGAAGAACTTCTTTTGAAGTAAGCAGTTGTGTCGTGATTTTCCATTTAAAAAAATTCTGGGGGGTGTTTTATGGCATTTGCAACTGCATACGGTCATATGAGAGCGCTGGACACACCAAACATTTTCATTTGGTAGGAAATTTTGAATTTTGCTAGGGTGGCGGCTGAAGCCTTTTCCATTTTGGTGATGTTCTGCTCAAGTTGTAGTGTAGTAATTTTGAACACAAAATCCACTAAAATTTGAGAGTGAACAAAAGGTAGTTCACAGTAGGCCTACTTTAAAAAGAAAAGTATACCGAACCATTTATAGTGCATGCCAACTCCTGATTAGTATTGAACTGGAGACTTGCAAATCAACCACTGCAATAGTTTTAGAACAATTTTTATAAAAGAGCTATAACCTATCTTCCAGTCACATGGTTAAAGAAAGTATTGTGTATAAATACACTATCAATTTTTCTCGTAAAGAATGCTACAGAAGTCTTCGTTATCATCACTGCTGTGGTGGTATAGATCTGTACGAGGGTCTGCTTAAGGGGATCCCCAGATCAGTAAAAAAAATATTGAACAAAAATACTTTTTTTTCGGATTTTGGAGTATCTTTATAGATATCTATATAAAAAATTCATCTTTAGAAGCCTAATTTCTATTCAAAGTTATAAATAGCTGGAAAATGCATTTGAGAGAGGTAGCAATGTAGGAAAATCTTCACCAAAAAAGATTTTTCTTTGCAGTTTTCTCAGAATAGTTTTTTTTGTTTTGTTTTAGTAGAGGTTTTACGGCGCTCGCAACTGCATAAGGTCATATGAGCGCCAAAGGGTGGATGTCAATAGAGAAGTCCTTACAGGGAATCAGACTTACTTACTCTGCTCACCTCTCATGCTTCAACTGCACAAAGTCTCCTTCGACTATCAAGGCACCCCAGAAATAGCGGGTCACAAGAGTGTGACAAACATACAAAAGAAGTAGAGGAAAATGACAATAGTAAGGATTAGGAAAGAAAAAGCAGCAGTACCCTGTTGCAGTTCAGGCACAGTTATGAGCATGACATTGTTGGATCAGCCCATTTACAATTCTACTGTTCATTAGAACGAGAAATGTCCCCCCTTTGAGAATGGCCTAAAGACACTTCAGTTAGTGGCACCGCCCCGAGGGGTGTCAGAATAGTTTATCTGACCAGGTTGGAACACTATTTTGAGTAGGTCTCAGAAGTTAATACGATATCAGAATTTATTCAAATTTACACAC